GCGCCTCCTTGTGCTTGGACGAGAACTGGAAGGTGCCCTTGTCCTTGTCCACCCACCAGATGCTGTCCTTCATGTCGCCGCTGCGCAGCAGGTCCAGCAGGAACTGGTACAGGCGGATCTTCTTCTTGCTGCCTGCGGCCGGAGGTGGTCAGCACCCGCTTGGGGACTCGCCCGCCTCCCCCGACCTGGGCCCCCGGGGGTGCTGGCCAGTGGGTGGACTACGCCTGGTGCTCACGCCCCTCCCACTGCCACGCCAGCCACAGCACATGTGCTCAGACACACACGCAGGGACAGACGGTCACAGATGCCCCCAAGAAAAACATGTGAAGACACACACTGGCAGACATTCACACACACACACACACACACACACTCTCTCTCTCAGCACTGTTCCATGACTGCCAAGTCCGTTGGCCTTGGCCAGGGTGGGCACGGGGCAGCCTTGTGGCCAGGGGGCTGGGTCGGGGCTGGGGCTGTGCTCCCTACCTGGCTCCCCATGCAGGAGGCCAGGCCCTGGCTCCAGGCCGTCAGCCTCCCCGTCAGACACCTCCAGTGGGGGGCTCTGCCGCTCACCCTCCTCCTCATCTGAGCTGGGCTGGGCCGGGGACAGGGAGGGGTACGGGAGGCACATCCGGGGTAGGTAGGAGACCTGGCAGAAGGAAGCTTGAGGTCAGTGAGGGACAGTTCAATGCTCAGGGTGGCCAGGTAGGAGTTGGCTGGGTGAGAGGACAGGGTGCTGAGGTGGGGAGGCCAGGGAGAGGCAGAAGGATTTGGGAGAAAGCTGGGTCGGGAGGTTGGGCAGGGTCACCACACACAGGGCGCAGGTTGTGGGGACCAAGGGCTCCTAAAACGCCACCCATCCCCCTAGTATCAGAGCTGGGCAGCCTGGGGAAGGGGTGCCTTTCTCATATGCACAAAGGGGCCATACAGATGGACTGGTAGCAACCCTGGGGTGAGGAGTGGGGTGAGGAGGCCCTGTGGGGCAGGGCACCTGCATGAATGGGGTTTAGTAAGTGGGTGACAACTGTGTGCGAGGGCAGTGGAGGTCAGCGGAGGTGGGTATAGGAGGTCACTGATTGGGATTAGGGTCGGCAGGGCTGAGCAGTTAGTAAAGGGGTCAGTGGGGAGAGGGAGGGGCCAGTAGAGGTAGGGCTCAGTGACCTGGATGCCAGATCCAGGAGGGGCCAGTGACAGGGGGAGAGAGGGGGGTGCAATCCACGGGGCTCAGGAGAGCCTGCAATGAGACCGTTGGGCTCGGGAGGATCAGTGTGGGGGTGGGAATGATCTGGGCTCTGTCCACGGTGGGGCGACAGGAGATAAGGGGTATGGGGTCATGAGGTCAGTCGGAGGGTCAGGAGGCAGCCATGGAGGGTCAGGAGGCAGCCGTTGAGGCTCCGGCCACCGTTGGCGCCAAGGGGCAGGAAGCCGAGTTGAGTAAGAGCCTGTGTCAGTTTCCTGCGAGGCCAGGCCTCACCACAGGCCGCCGGCTCCCGGGCCAGGCTGGCTAGGGGGCTGCATGCACGCACCTGGTGGCCGAGGCTGGCGTGGGTGGGTGCCATGGGGGTGTCGAGCACGTGCATC